TTAAAATTCGGCTGCTGCCATCAACGAATTTGAAGTTAATATAACATCTATTTCCTTCTTTTAACCATTTTCAATTATATAAAAGCAAAATTTGAAGTTAATATAACACCTATTTCCTTTTTCTTTAACCATTTTCAATTATATAAAAGCAGAAGCGAAAAGAGAAGAAGAAGAAGAAGAAGAATCAGACCCAATGAGACTGACCTGCTGTAGGCGGTGAAAGTTGAAGATGGTGAAGGTTGAAGGCCAGTGGAGAACGGAGGTAGCCATGTTTGTTGTCTGAAGCTTTTAGACAAGGAAGTTTTTAGCAGAGCGAAAACGTTATCCGGTAAATACTCAGGGTCGGGTAGAGAGATAAGGTCTGGGCTTTAGTCCCGTCTCAGTTTTGGGCCCATATTTCACAAAGCCCAATCCATCTATATAACAGAATAACATTTTTTTAAAAAAAGAAAGTCAAATTCTTTTAGTCATTCAATTATTTCTATTAATAGCTAACTTATCTGTTACAGTATGACTGCATTGCATTAAATGTGACTGCATTAAATGGTTTAATGTCCGTGTAAAATCTTTTATTCATTTAAAATCGTTTCCCATTTACATTCTACTAGTGCGATGCATGAGGTGTACAATTTTAAGGTCATTTATCCATTTTTATAATTATATAAATGAATAAAAAAAATGTACGGGATATATATAGTACGTAACTTGTAATAGGCAAAAAATGTAAACACAGATGATGCACAAGGTGCATAATTTTAAGGTCATTTATTAGTACAGAGTCCGTGCGATCCACGGGGTGCACAATAAGATTTATCAAGATTATGTAATTAAAGTAACAAACATGCAAATAAGAGGTAATAAAATCCGGATATTCAAGTTCCATTCACAGACATCAAAACACATTCAGACTTCGCAAACAAAAGCATATTCAAGGAAAATGATATCCGTCTTGGTAAGAAGGCCAAAGAAAGTCCTTAGAACAACTCAGTTTTAATACAATTATTAATTCTTCAGCTTGTTCACTCATCACTGTATTCAATTTATAGGTGATTTTGGATTCGCAAAGCTTCTCGACGAGGGTGGTCTTGCTTCTTCGGTATTAACTGCACAATCCATTAATTTCACATTCTATTGTTCTAACTGTTTATAGCTTGTACTTTTACACATCCATATGCTTGGGTTCAAACTCGGCTAAAAAACAATTGGGCAAGTGTAATTTTAAATGAGGACTATACATATGGCAGTTGAATCTTGAACTCGTGATTCCTTTTAATGGTCGAACTTTATTTTGTGCAAATGTTGGCGAATAACCTCGTTTTCCTCAAACCAGGTTGTGGGAACACCCAATTACATGTGCCCAGAGCTTCTTGCGGATATCCCCTATGGCTATAAATCGGACAGTTGGTCGTTAGGTACCAAACTAAATCTAGAAAACTTTACGTATTTTCACTTGTGTCTTAATCACTAAAATAGCTATAATTTAAGAACAGACCAAAATTCTATCAAAATTTTATATATCTTTTTATTTGTCTAGGTTGTATCTGTTTACATTTCTGCACATCATCAAGCGTTCAAAGCCACAGTAACAAAATCAAAATGTTTTTTTGTGCTTTTCTTTTTTTATACAATGTTGTTGCTAAAATTCACAGGCAAAATAAAGTTCCATTCACAGACATCCAAACACATTCAAACCGTTGATATCAAAAGCACATTCACAGGCACATCACTTCGTAATCAAAACACTTCCACACCGTTCATATCACAATTTTAAGATTATTACCTTTCGCAGATGTCGGACTTCCGAATCAGTGGACAAATTTGATAGCGGACGACGGGTATTTCTCTCTCTCTCTCTCTTAGCTAGGGTTTTTCTGTCTCTCTCGTCGATGCACACTGAAAGCTTGGTTATTATTTATCCCACCAAAAAGGTGGGATTGGTTTATGTGATTTTCCTTTTTTCTTATTTCCTCTGTTCATTTTATTTTGGGCCTAGACCTTTTTCGGTGAGAAAGGTGCTACCTTGGAAAGAAATGTTGATACAGTCACAAAACATTAAGCCCAAATAGAAGGAAAGCGTGTAACTTGGATTTCGAAATAGCCCAAAGAGGCGGTCAACACTCATGCTTCTTGGGCCTGACTGACACGGACTTCATTTTCTCCCCGATGTTGAAAAACACAGTTCCTGGCAAAGGTTTATTTTTCACAGAAGAGGGTGGAGCCGTGGCGGTGGAGGGAAAACGCGCGGGAAGGATGCCGGTGGCGAGACCAGATTCATCGGAGGCCAGGGTTATCGCTCACATTGACATGGATTGCTTTTACGTACAAGGTCTTGATACTCTTCTTTGGTCTTAGAGCTTCGATGGAGTTGCACAGTTGATGTATTATCATTACTGGACGAATTATGAATTCTGATGATTTCTTCATTCTTGATTACTTTCTACTAGATTGGGTATTCCGAATTGTGAGCGGAGCGCCATTAATTTTGCTTATCTTAGGATTTTTTTTTTTTTTTTTTTATGTGATATTTTTTATTTGTTCCTGAATAATTATTTCCTATTGAAGTTGAATGTTACTTGTAGAACATATTAGACGTCAATTTGATCACAATTTATAAACAAATGAAGAATTGCTATTAACAGAAATGTATAGCTGCTACTTGTGCATGTGCAAGTTTGTCGATTGTTTTTAGCTAACTGCTTTTGGATATGGGACTTCTATTTGGTGTGTTATCCCATCGCATGGATTCTGGCCTCTCTTTGCTCAATTCAATTTAAACTCTGCCGTGAATGTT